CAATAAAGGTCACAAACCAGTAAGGCAGCATTCTTTATCAAATGTCAAATGATGCAGTCTCTTTGGCGGAATCACTGACACAGAGCTATAAGAGTGGCACCAATCGCTGGGTATCGCCAATTGGTCCGTGGCTCTCACCATGAAGACAGTAAGCAATTTGGCATAATCTCTTGTTGCTGCCACCTAACACGTAGGGGCACCCTTCCCAATATCTCGATAAGAGTTGGAGTTGCCCTCAACTGTGTTGGTCTAGCTTTGCTCCTAGATCAGTTTTTTCGGGGTTTCTATTTCAAATTGTACATTTATATTGTTCAAGAGTGATGAATCTCTGAGACTGGGATGGATAGGTTCAGGTCAGCCCAGGTCAACCATCGGGATACATTTCACCAACAAGGAAAAATAGAGTTATTATAAAGCAACTATGATTCTCCCATGGCAATCCATCAGACTCTCGTAAAAGGTGGAAGCGAGGTAAGATGTGCGATTTCAGTTGGTAATTCATAAAGCACGACTGACTCGTGCCGTTTCCAGTTCCAGGGTCCCTCTATCGCGCAGGTGCTCTGCCTGCTCTGCCTGGTGACTCTGCTGGCTCTGACCGCCGAGGCCGACAAGACGGCCAGCATCGTCAACCAGTACTACAACAACGACGGCAACGGCAACTTTGTCAACAGGTAGAGATGACAAGCATGTTAGCAACATAATATTATGTGGCCATGTTAAACGGTCTATGTCAATTACACCCATGGAACTATAACACAACGAGTATAAATAGAAAATTTTGCTACTGCAATACCTAGTTGCTAAGCTTTGATTAGCTACAAGAATGCATGTCAATTAATTCATTTTATAATATGTATGTTTGGGTGCAAAAAGGAGCATTATAACGAGTCTATTTCATCACATATGACGCCTTATGCCTGCTTAGGTTTGAAACATCGAATGGCATAGCTTCTGAGGAAGAGGCAGTCTTCTACCCCGGTCCGGAACCCGAGTCTGGAACGTTCGCGAGGAGCGGCTTCTTCTCGTACGACTGGGAGGGCGTCACCTACAAAGTGTACTGGAAGGCCGACCAGGATGGCTTCCTAGCGACTGGCGATCACCTGCCCAATGGTGGCGATGGTGAACAATATGGGCTTCTATTTTAAGCACAGAAGGAAATAAATGAAACATGAAAACGACGTCCAGCAGAAGGACGAAGAAAATGGGTGACTGAACAGCGAGCATAGTCTACATTCACTGAGCCCGTCGAGTGAAACAGTGTCAAATAAAGCAAAACACAGTGTCCCTGTATGAATGAATGAATGAAATAAAGCAGAGAGCAATCAGATACATGAATTTTGCTGAAGGAATAGCGCCGAGTGGTCACCCAGCGTCGTTACTCGCAGTCTCAGGAGTGGCAGTGTGCCCCGCACCATCCCCCACATCAGCACCCCCAGGGGCTGGCGTGGCACGTTCACGTGACTGGCTTGTGCTAGTAGATGCAGGATATGTAAAACGCATGGACGAAAACAGAACCTCGTTAAAGACACATAGAAAGCAGCTTTCCTGATGTCGATCAGAACAGCGGCTACGTTGTTTATGCACCTAGCACCCAGGTATAAAACTGTGGAGCACCCAGCTGGTTCACCATCCTGACCCCACCCTCGTGCACAACAGTGACCTGGGAGAGGTCATGCAGTCGAGCCGTCGCGTTCCGTGACCCTGACTGGGTTGACTCGTCGTTAGCTTCTTTGGTGACCAACAGCGCGGCTGATCGGTCCGGCTCAAACTCGAAACCGTAACATGATTCGGAACGAATACGTATATGTGAAGAGGTATTTGGACTGTTGTAAATAGTGCAGGGTTTGTCTATTATGAATAATGTCCTTAACCCTCGCCGGCACAGGCCATTTTGCGTTCTTCGACGGCACAAGGGGGTACGACCCCCATCGCGTTTGGACCCTGATCGAGCTAGAGCTTTGCGTAAAAAAACGAGCGTGCTGCCCGTCACGAGAGGAAGCCGATGACATCCAATTTTTATGTCCTAGGTCATCGGTTGACCTTCCAGGTCAGGTCAATGACCCAAAAGCCGGGTAAATCGGGACCTGTTAGAAAGTCGTAAAGTGTGGCTGCTATGTGGTTTTCCGGGGTGCTGATCACGAATATCGTGTTAGTTCTGATCACAGATGATGTTTTCAAGCATTTAGACCAGGTCGGCTCAGGTCAGGTCAGGTCAACCAGTAGGGTCGTGACGGGTATTCGTAGTACGTGTTAACCGCCTCTGAGAGCTTCGTAGCATGTTACGAAGGCACCAAAACTACTTCATAAATGTTCAAATGCTGCTAAATTCGACTTGAGCTCCAAAAACTCACCTAGAAACATGCAAAACTCGAAAAAGTGAACCGGGGTCACCAAAGGTCAATGACCTGACCTGACCTTCAGGTGACCTTGACATCCACCCTAATGCATGGGAGCAACATCAAATCACATGTTTGAACGTTTGAAACCACGAAAAGCTTGCAAACGCGCGGCTAATGCGAGCCGACATACGCCGAATCGCGATTCCGGGCAAACATGGTCTCGGAAAGTAGGTCACAGGTCAAAGGTCATTAGGGTCAGGATCACGAAATTTTTAGGGTAGGTGTAAAATTGATCATTGCGAGGGCACTGAACGTTTCGTCGCGATCAACCGCTTTTTACGCGAGTTATTCGCGAAAAACCTCAGGGGGGGGGGGGGTTGCATCAACCCACTGTGCCGGCGAGGGTTAAGGAAACCTTCATTAATTACATCACTACGCTAAATAAAAGAAAAATAGCTCCCCCCAAGAAAAAAACTAACTCCCGACTCATGTGCGCTCATTTGGTATTCAATTTATTATCTCTTCGTGTTCTTTTCACTGCAAGCGTGCAACACCTCAGCTGTTCCGTTACTGACCTTGAAAATATCGATAAATCCTTCTTCCAAATTATCAATCCATTTTATCCCTTCATCTCATTGATTCCGTAATCCAGCTCATTCTGTTGGATGTCCCTTTTCAGCGGTACTTGATAGCCGAGCCGCGGAGGTCGCGGTGTCCCACGGTGGACGTTTTCTGAAGCAGGTACGGGCTACCGGTCCTGCATCGATGACACATAGCCGGGGTGGACAGTCGGCTATGTATATAAGCCGCCGCTGATCTGTCCTGTCCAGCGATCAGCGGCGGCTTATATACATAGCCGACTGTCCACCCCGGCTATGTGTCATCGATGCAGGACCGGTAGCCCGTACCTGCTTCAGAAAACGTCCACCGTGGGACACCGCGACCTCCGCGGCTCGGCTATCAAGTACCGCTGAAAAGGGACATCCAACAGAATGAGCTGGATTACGGAATCAATGAGATGAAGGGATAAGATGGATTGATAATTTGGAAGAAGGATTTATCGATATTTTCAAGGTCAGTAACGGAACAGCTGAGGTGTTGCACGCTTGCAGTGAAAAGAACACGAAGAGATAATAAATTGAATACCAAATGAGCGCACATGAGTCGGGAGTTAGTTTTTTTCTTGGGGGGAGCTATTTTTCTTTTATTTAGCGTAGTGATGTAATTAATGAAGGTTTCCTTAACCCTCGCCGGCACAGTGGGTTGATGCAACCCCCCCCCCCCCTGAGGTTTTTCGCGAATAACTCGCGTAAAAAGCGGTTGATCGCGACGAAACGTTCAGTGCCCTCGCAATGATCAATTTTACACCTACCCTAAAAATTTCGTGATCCTGACCCTAATGACCTTTGACCTGTGACCTACTTTCCGAGACCATGTTTGCCCGGAATCGCGATTCGGCGTATGTCGGCTCGCATTAGCCGCGCGTTTGCAAGCTTTTCGTGGTTTCAAACGTTCAAACATGTGATTTGATGTTGCTCCCATGCATTAGGGTGGATGTCAAGGTCACCTGAAGGTCAGGTCAGGTCATTGACCTTTGGTGACCCCGGTTCACTTTTTCGAGTTTTGCATGTTTCTAGGTGAGTTTTTGGAGCTCAAGTCGAATTTAGCAGCATTTGAACATTTATGAAGTAGTTTTGGTGCCTTCGTAACATGCTACGAAGCTCTCAGAGGCGGTTAACACGTACTACGAATACCCGTCACGACCCTACTGGTTGACCTGACCTGACCTGAGCCGACCTGGTCTAAATGCTTGAAAACATCATCTGTGATCAGAACTAACACGATATTCGTGATCAGCACCCCGGAAAACCACATAGCAGCCACACTTTACGACTTTCTAACAGGTCCCGATTTACCCGGCTTTTGGGTCATTGACCTGACCTGGAAGGTCAACCGATGACCTAGGACATAAAAATTGGATGTCATCGGCTTCCTCTCGTGACGGGCAGCACGCTCGTTTTTTTACGCAAAGCTCTAGCTCGATCAGGGTCCAAACGCGATGGGGGTCGTACCCCCTTGTGCCGTCGAAGAACGCAAAATGGCCTGTGCCGGCGAGGGTTAAGGACATTATTCATAATAGACAAACCCTGCACTATTTACAACAGTCCAAATACCTCTTCACATATACGTATTCGTTCCGAATCATGTTACGGTTTCGAGTTTGAGCCGGACCGATCAGCCGCGCTGTTGGTCACCAAAGAAGCTAACGACGAGTCAACCCAGTCAGGGTCACGGAACGCGACGGCTCGACTGCATGACCTCTCCCAGGTCACTGTTGTGCACGAGGGTGGGGTCAGGATGGTGAACCAGCTGGGTGCTCCACAGTTTTATACCTGGGTGCTAGGTGCATAAACAACGTAGCCGCTGTTCTGATCGACATCAGGAAAGCTGCTTTCTATGTGTCTTTAACGAGGTTCTGTTTTCGTCCATGCGTTTTACATATCCTGCATCTACTAGCACAAGCCAGTCACGTGAACGTGCCACGCCAGCCCCTGGGGGTGCTGATGTGGGGGATGGTGCGGGGCACACTGCCACTCCTGAGACTGCGAGTAACGACGCTGGGTGACCACTCGGCGCTATTCCTTCAGCAAAATTCATGTATCTGATTGCTCTCTGCTTTATTTCATTCATTCATTCATACAGGGACACTGTGTTTTGCTTTATTTGACACTGTTTCACTCGACGGGCTCAGTGAATGTAGACTATGCTCGCTGTTCAGTCACCCATTTTCTTCGTCCTTCTGCTGGACGTCGTTTTCATGTTTCATTTATTTCCTTCTGTGCTTAAAATAGAAGCCCATATTGTTCACCATCGCCACCATTGGGCAGGTGATCGCCAGTCGCTAGGAAGCCATCCTGGTCGGCCTTCCAGTACACTTTGTAGGTGACGCCCTCCCAGTCGTACGAGAAGAAGCCGCTCCTCGCGAACGTTCCAGACTCGGGTTCCGGACCGGGGTAGAAGACTGCCTCTTCCTCAGAAGCTATGCCATTCGATGTTTCAAACCTAAGCAGGCATAAGGCGTCATATGTGATGAAATAGACTCGTTATAATGCTCCTTTTTGCACCCAAACATACATATTATAAAATGAATTAATTGACATGCATTCTTGTAGCTAATCAAAGCTTAGCAACTAGGTATTGCAGTAGCAAAATTTTCTATTTATACTCGTTGTGTTATAGTTCCATGGGTGTAATTGACATAGACCGTTTAACATGGCCACATAATATTATGTTGCTAACATGCTTGTCATCTCTACCTGTTGACAAAGTTGCCGTTGCCGTCGTTGTTGTAGTACTGGTTGACGATGCTGGCCGTCTTGTCGGCCTCGGCGGTCAGAGCCAGCAGAGTCACCAGGCAGAGCAGGCAGAGCACCTGCGCGATAGAGGGACCCTGGAACTGGAAACGGCACGAGTCAGTCGTGCTTTATGAATTACCAACTGAAATCGCACATCTTACCTCGCTTCCACCTTTTACGAGAGTCTGATGGATTGCCATGGGAGAATCATAGTTGCTTTATAATAACTCTATTTTTCCTTGTTGGTGAAATGTATCCCGATGGTTGACCTGGGCTGACCTGAACCTATCCATCCCAGTCTCAGAGATTCATCACTCTTGAACAATATAAATGTACAATTTGAAATAGAAACCCCGAAAAAACTGATCTAGGAGCAAAGCTAGACCAACACAGTTGAGGGCAACTCCAACTCTTATCGAGATATTGGGCATATAAATTTTGTACCAGTAAAACGCCTTTTGGGCGAAGAACGAGCGAGCGAGATAGTGAGCCCTGCACGTGCAGAAGGGCGAGAGAGTACTTCCAACGGGCTTGTGCAAAGCACCCTTCTTACCGGTCGCTAGCGGTGTACCAAATTTGAACGCAATCGGCCCAGCCGTTCCTGAGATCTGGAAGCGGCATTCTGCACGTGCGCACGTGCAAACGGGGTCCAAAATGACTTTTGCACGGCACCCTACTAACCGGTCCCCAACCGTGTACCAAATTTGAGCACAATCGGCCCAGCCGTTCTCGAGATTTGGAAACGCCCCCTGCACGTGCGCACGTGTACAGTAGCACCCTAACCGTAACACATGGGAATGCATTGCCTGGTGGGTGCCTACCTGTATGCCAAGTTTCAGCGAAATCGCCCCAGTAATTACCGAGCTACTGAAATGGGAACAAATTTGGCACCTCTTATTGTTGTATTTTGCACGTGCAGTGGGGGTCACTCACATAGATGAAGAGTGTCCGACTTTTGGTAGAAGGGATGCAGCTACCCTATAAAAATGACCGCAAGACAATCGCTCAAGCCGCTGCTGGGATATGGGCCTCTCAAAATCATTACTTTTGCAAAACTGCTTGAACACCCTTGACTTTTCACGTGGCACGTGCCACGGCGGTCACTGAGATGTATCAAAAGTAGTCAATTACGGGGTAGAAGGGATGGGGCTACCCAGCAAAAAAGACCGCAGGCCATTCGGTCCAGCGGTTGCTGAGATATAAGCCTCTCAAAAGCGTTACAGGCCGGGCCGGGCCGGGCCGGGCCGCTCATACTGAGATTTTTCCGTTATATTGAAAAGACTTCGCTTCGCTCGCTGCGCTCGCTCGCTCGTAACAAGAGAAATAGGTCAGCTCAGGGTCAGCTTACAAAAATGAATGAGTGAGGCAGTCGTCAGCGTCGGACGTGTTTTTGATCGTCCCGTTATATTTGCCTTTTTCGCGTAACTGATGAGTTTTGCGCATAAATAATGATTTGGAAGTGTTTGTAATTTACCGTAGCATACTTTGGTGATATTATGAATGACTGAGTGAGTAAAGTAATCAAAATATAAGCTTGTAAAAATATAATATTTTCGGTAAAATCCATACAATTCGAGTAGACGAAGCCGACCTACATTGCTCGATTTTTCATTGTTGATCGCGCGCTGAAAGGTTATCACTCCCTTCGCTCACTTGGCTTCAACGGAGATACACCGTATTTGGTGTAGGTATTTCTCCGGCATTATTTGATATTATATGTAACTTTTTATGCCTAAAAAGGAATGCTGCAAATGCTCCACTAGGCCATGCACTGGGTGCAGCTGTGTAGAGCATGGACGGCAATGCACCAGCTGCCGCTTTGGTGAGCGGTGTCCAAACAGAAAAGGAAGCAGCGGCACAGAACCGGATGACCTCGCCGATTTCATAGCTGACCTCAAGCGTCATGGCCGAGGCCGAGTGCTTCCTCACATACCAAAAATTGCACGCATTGCTGTCGCCGACACGCTAGCACAGTGTATCACAACTGTGATAACTGACGGCTCACCTAGGGCTTGGAAGTCATTTCTCACCTTCGCCTACGCAGTCATCAAAGCACCTAAGACGCGAAGAAACGAAGTACGCCACAAAACGCTTACAGCTGCAATTCGCGAGAACATCGCCAACTTCGCGAATGATGACCTCTCCGAGAAGGACGGCAGCCGTCCAGCAGCATCTCGCCGCAAAACGAGCGACACTAATGCTGATCTCTCCAGACACGTGTCGTCAAAGCTGGCTGACGGCGACGTGCGAGGAGCTCTGCGAATCATTACCTCAGACGACTCATTCGCGAGCCCTACCGTTGAAGTAATTGAAAGCATCGCCGGCAAACATCCTGAACCGCCTCCTGATCTCCGCAATCTCGAGCCACCTGATGCCAGGACAGCCTCACTGGTTGCGACTGAAGCCGATGTCTTAAAGGCGATCAGCTCGTTCCCTCGAAGCTCGAGCGCTGGCCTGGACGGTATCCGACCAGCTCACCTGCAATGCCTTGTGGCTAAGCCCACCGCCGAGGCTGGAGCGCGACTTCTCACAGCGCTTACAGCTCTGACGAATCTCGCACTCAGCGGCCGGATCCCGGAATTCGCTCTCCGGGCTTTCTTCGGTGCCTCCTTGATAGCGCTGCGGAAGAAAACGGGAGGCCTGCGGCCGATTGCCATCGGTAGCGTCTTCAGGCGAATTGCCGCTAAAGTGGCAACCAACAGTGTGTCCAGACGCATCGGGACCGAGCTGAGACCCACCCAGCTTGGGGTTGCAACGCGCAATGGGTGCGAAGCTGCTGTTCACGCTGTTCGAGCCTTTGTGAAGCACGCCGTAAGCTCAGCCCAGCCCACGGCCATCATCAAACTTGACGTCAGCAACGCCTTCAACTCCGTAAGGCGGGACACCATGCTCGAAACCGCCCGCGCCAGAGTACCTTCCATCTACCCGCTCATCTGGCAAGCATATGCAACTGCGTCACCGCTATACATCGGAGATTCGAAGGTCTGGTCCCGCACAGGAATCCAGCAAGGAGACCCTCTGAGCTCTCTTCTCTTCTCCGTGGCCATTGACGACATATTACAGGGTATCGACACTGACCTGAACGTATGGTACCTGGATGACGGCACAGTGGGAGGACCACTCGATCAGGTTACCAGCAACATTGGACGCATCAAGGAACAACTTGCCGATAAAGGACTGCAGGTCAATGGCAGTAAGTGCGAGCTGGTTCTGCTGGGAGCCGACAGAGAGGTTTGGCAGCCAGATGCGCTGCTCAGACTAACAGAGCTATTGTCTGACATCCGTCTGACGCGTCCCGAGGAACTACAGCTCCTTGGCGCACCAATCTGCGACGATCAAGTGAAGGCACAGCTCTTGACCGGGAAGCAGCTCGTCAACAAACTCGTGAGCCGAGTGCAGTGTCTCGAAGAAGCGCATCAAGCATTCTATCTCCTGAAAAATTATGTGTGCACACCACGTCTCCTGTACCTTCTCCGCAGCGCTCCTGCATTTCGTAGTGCAACAATCCTCTCAGAAATTGACGAGCTTGTTCGGCAAGGCATCACGGCTGTCACAAACGTGGCACTGCAAGGTGAATCATGGCGACAGGCTACTCTACCTGTGAGTCTGGGTGGACTTGGAATCCGGAGGGTCTCTGACTTAGCTCTTCCAGCATATATTGCATCGCTAAGATCCTCCGCTCCCCTGATCATGGACATCATCCCCAGCATGGCAGAGAGCATCGATCGGCTCGAGACATCGTTGCACCAACGGTGGAAAGTGGAGACTGGGCTCGAGCTCCCGGACGCCTCCAAACAGGGACGGCAGCGCGTTTGGGATCTAACCGCGGCAGCCGCTGAAGCTGCGAAGCTGCTCGAGGGTAGTCCCGATGACAGACACCGTGCCCGACTTCACGCAGCAGCGCAGCCGCACTCCGGTGCATGGCTGAACGCACTGCCTGTGCCGAGCCTCGGAACACTTCTCGACCATGAAACTCTCAGAGTAGCTGTTGCTCTTCGAGTCGGCGCTCCGGTATGTGCTCCTCACCGCTGCCGGTGCGGATCCACCGTCGACACCCTGGGGCTGCACTCGCTGTCTTGCCAACTGAGTGCGGGCCGTCTGCCGCGACACTCCGCGCTGAATGATGTCATTAAACGCGCCCTGCACAGCGCAGGCATGCCATCAGTGCTGGAACCAACAGGCCTTGATCGCGACGACGGCCGGCGCCCGGATGGGATGACCACCTTCCCCGTCACCGAAGGCAAGTGCCTTATATGGGACAGCACCTGCGTCGATACATACGCCAGCTACATCATCGGTAAATCGGCGGTCCATGCAGGAGCTGCAGCAGAAGCCGCCGAAAGCCGGAAGAGGCGCCGCTATGGAGCGCTTGAAAGGCGTTTCAAGTTCCAGCCCATCGCCGTCGAAACGAGTGGCTCACTGGGACAGTCCACTGTCCAGTTCTTGAAGGACGTAGGTCGGCGAATAGCACGTGAAAGCGGCGACAGGAGGGCTACAGAGTACCTTTTTCAGCGAGTGTCGCTTGCCGTGCTCCGTGGTAACGCCACGTCAATCCTCATGGGAGCAGCCCACACAACTGGAAGCAGCATCGAGCCCAACGACAAGGACGACACCAACTGGCAAGCTGGGAGCAGTGAAAACTCGTGTGAATCGAGAAACAGGAACGACCACGAATGCTTACTCGATACGCATGACGACAAAGGCTCCGATATTGCTGTGAACGACCTCGTCACGATCCTAACAGATACCGAAACCCCCTCTCTGATGATAGAGACGGAGCAGCTTCCTAGGTCGACAGACCTTCTGAAAAAGTATCGCGAGCTCTATCAGGAAATGCGGGCACAGTTTATTGCCCAGGGCCTGGACCGTGACCCTATGTCTGACCCTGAACTAGCGAGATACCTGTCTCGTGGGGGCAAAGGGAGCAAATAGGGGAATGGAGATGGGAGCGTTTTTTTTTACTGCACTGTGTACAATGCGTGACCTGTCAAGTATGTATTTGAATATACAGTGTAAGCTTAAAATGAAGCTAAGTATGTCTAAAATAGCATTAATGGAGGTCACAAACCAGTAAGACAGCATTCCTTATCAAATGTCAAAT